TGTACGGGACCTCTGTGTGAGGTCCCAATTCATGTGATCCCCTGATTGACCAATCAGTGATCACATGAATAGTAGTAAACAAGATGTCACTTCCTGACATCATTGCTTACTACGTGTGAAATCTGTGAATGATCACAGAGGTCACATGGTACAACGCTATTTACAACAGCCTTGTACCATGTGACAAGCTGTGACCAATCACAGCTCGCGCAGTATTTCTCAATGGCTGCAGGAATGCAGCCAGAGAGAAGGAGAAATGATTGCTTTTACAGCCTTTACGGGTGTAAAAGCAATCAGTGTAAAAAAAGAAAAAAAATCTTCATCACCCCCACAAGTAGTACAACTCGTACTTGTATAAAAAAAATAAAATAAAAATGTAAAAGAAAATTTTGAAAAATTTGAATTTTGGGTTATAAACTAATTTGGGTATTTTTTTTTACTAAAAGGATAGATGAATACATTGTGGCCAAGATTTATGAAGATTATTTATTTGCAAAATTTTATAAGAAAAACACTTTTTTTTTTCAAAATTTTTGGACTTTTTCATTTATATATCAAAATAATAATAATCCCAGTGGTGAATAAATACCAGCAAAAAAATAACGGTGCAGTGTTGCATGACCGCGCAATTGTTATTCAAAGTGTGATAGCATTGAAAGCTGAAAATTGGCCTGGACTAGAAGGGGTGAAAGTGTCCAGACGTGAAGTGGTTAAGGACCCTGCAAGTACAGGGACAATTGAGTACTGTCCATGATACAATTTTTATTTACACTAACATCCAAATTTTCAAGTCAAACTTTTGGGGTGTACCCCCTTCTTCAAGGTCCAAACAGCACAGCTTGGACCTTGGAGAAGGGGGTATGCCCCAAAAGCTTATCCTGAAATTGCTACTCAATTGTTCTCATTGCAATTGAACTATACAGCTACAATCACATCAAACATGCAAGTACAGCCAAATGCTTGTTGATCTGACAGAAGTACAGCTCCTAAGTCCTGTCAGTTGTGAGCTGAAGACCCACAGCATTGAGTGGTGTCAGCCCTACCAAGTTTTCTCCTGCTAAACTACTCAGACCCACTTACTATCCCATCTCTACAACATAATCACCCTCCTAGATTGTAAGCTCCAAGGAGCAGGGCCCTTGAACCCCTCGTGTATTGCACTGTATTGTTACCGTACTGTCTCGTGTATTGTCTCCCATTGTAATGTACAGCGCTGAGCAAACCGTTGGCGCTATATAAATACTGCATAATAATAATCATTCTGTACTTCCAAGCTACCAATGCATAGCAACAGCCCATAGAAGTTACTTTCTGTCACCTTCTGTCAGTGCAGTGCATCATAAGGCATTAGATGTAGGCCCCTTTCACACGGGCGTTCCGTATGTCCGTTTTTCATCTGTCCATTTGCAGTTAAAAAACGGACACCCATGCATTTCTATGGACCAGCGAATGTAAATGGATGATCATCTATTTACATCCATTAATGTTTGCATCCGTTAACATCTGTTTTTTGGAACGGAAGAACCCCCTATTTTTCTTCCTTTAAAAAAAAAAAAAAAAGGAACGGACAAAAAATGGATGTAGAAGGATGAAAAACTGATGTAAATGGATGTAAACCGATGTAAATGGACAAAACGGACAAAAAGGGATGTAAACGGACAAAAATGGATGTAGATGGATGAAAACAGATGTAAAATGATAAAAAATGGATGAAACACTGATGTAAACTGATCTTTTCTTGGAAAAAACATGACTGAACTGATGAAAAATATAAGGCACCTTGATGCATCAACATGCCAACATTTGTCAGAAGAGGTCCAAGGTTGAGTGTGAGATGCTGATCAAGCCACCTGTTTGTTATACATACTCAGGTTGTCCTAGTTGGGTGTTACATTCCCTTTTTGCATATTTACTGTAGTAATTACAGGGTTATGTGTTTACAGTCTTGACTCGAGACCAGTCATTATTCAAGGAACATTTTTCTATATTAGAGGACTTCATTGCACACCCTAACATCCCTCTTCCCTGTAAGCAAAACTGAGTACCTTTTTCCACCAATCAGATTACAGAGATGACACTCCCACTACAAGCCTGATTTTATTTATCAACATGGATATGGCAACTCAGCAAAAAACACATTTCAATGGCTGCAAAAAAAAGTTATGTACAGGGAAGAAAATGTCCGTATGAACTGCACATCTCTGCAAACCCCAGGTAAGAAAATGTAACAGCCAGCTAGGCCATGCCTCCAACGCATTTCACTCTGCACCCAGTGACGGACTTTGCTATTAACTACCTGATTTTTAGAGTACAGTAGAGTATTTGTAGCAGCTGACTTAAAAAAAAATGCAGCACAAGTTTCTCTTTAATTATGTTGGAGTATAGAATTGAAATAAACTAATGAATGGTCAAAGGATAAAGCAGATTTGTGCTATAAAAACAGAAAAGAATCTACAGCATGTGAAAGAGGTGCCAACCTGATATCTATAAAATGATCCAGAGAAGCTGCCCCTTCAGTGCAAACAAACACTATATACAGTACGATGGGTATGGAAAATAATCAACCCCCCCCCCCTTTAAAATAATCACAGTTGCTTTGCAGCCCGAAATGAAGGCAGACACAGTTTTTGTTTTATCTAGCTGTATTTAGAAAGAAAGAGACCAAACCAATGTCGGTAGTCTGGACTCTTTCTTCTCCCCCCCCTCCCCTTTTTTATGTGGTGGAATATAAAGAGGAATAGAAGCTACTATAAATATGTGATTGGAAGCATTTCAGGAATGGGTTTGGAGTAGTATCCATATTCATTGAAGGTGGTTCCTGGCCAGGATGATATACTCTCTCTTCTCCATTGTGGAATACCAGATATGAACTGGGAATACCTCATGGAAGGACTTATGTGACTTTTTTTTACAATGGACTGATTATCTTAGAGTTGCCTGGTTTGGACCAAGATAAATTCATGCTATTTTGAATAATGCACCCAATGGTAACTGATTGACACCCACCCATGATTGATTTGCTGAGCCCCTCTGCTTGCTATTGCCCTGCACCTAGGCGACATTCAGACTTTATTGTCCTCTGTCCCCAAGATTCATGGTCCTCAAGAAGTGGAGAATACGAAATGCGTTGACCTCTTGGAGGACATAATAGCAGGAATAATGTTTAGAATTATGCTGTATTAGGGCTGTTTAGTCACTATATTGGTTGTAAAGCATGTAATAATATTTTTTATACACAATTTAATAAAATTTGTAATTATAATAAAGATGTGTCTGTCCTACGCTGTACCAGGAAAGTCCATCATCTTTTGGTTTCTATATACCGTATTTTCCGGCGTATAAGGCGATCGGGTGTATAAGACGACCCCCTAATTTTCCAGTTAAAAACATAGGTTTTGGGCTATTCTCGCCGTATAAGACTACCCCCCTTCCGAGGCAACACCATTTAAAAACATCAGATTTTTTAATTGAAATGGTTATGACTTACCGGTACTTAAAATCCTTCAAAATCCTCATGTTCATCCTCTGACATCATAAGTTCATGAATGACATCTTGTGATACATTTGTAAGACAGTCATCATATGGATCAAGTTCCAAATCAGATGGTTCCCGCTGGATGTGCGGTAATACGGTAGCTTCGGCTACATACAGTATACAGTATATATACAGCCCGCTGGATGTGCAGTAATGTACATACAGTATACCGCGCTGAGCCAAGCTGGCTCAAAACAAATGTCCCTATGACAGATTAATCTGTCAGCCCGCTGGATGTGCGGTATATACAGTATACTGAGCCAAGTTTCAAAACGTACTGGTACGTCCCTACGGTAACCAGACCGCTGGATGTGTGTATGTACAGTAGCTGAGGCTACATACAGTATACGCCGGGCCAATCACGGCAAGCGATGTATTTCTACTAATGAATACAAAGCCTTCCTCGGATTGGCTGAGGTTGTGACATCATCAGCCCACATCTCTGACTCAGCCAATCTGAGCAGGCTTTGTATTCATTAGTAGAGTACATCACTCGCCATGATTGGCCCAGTGTATACTGTATGTAGCCGCAGCTACCGTACATACACGCATCCAGCGGGCTGATTACAGTAGGGACGTACCGGTACGTTTTGAAACCGCTTGGCTCAGCGCAGTATACTGTATATACCGCACATCCAGCGGGCTGACAGATTAATCTTTCATAGGGACATTTGTTTTGAGCCAGCTTGGCTCAGCCCCGTATACTGTATGTACAGTATTACCACACATCCAGCCAGCTTGATCCAAACAAACTCAAGTTTCACATTTTAGACCCCGTGTATAAGACGACCCCCAATTTTTGGGGTATATTTTTAAGTATAAAAAGTAGTCTTATACGCCAGAAAGTACTGTAGATATTTTTAATTTATTAAAAAGGTTATTAGTATCACTTATCTAAGGAGTAGCACCTACCTTTGATTTTGTTTTCTATTTAGTAGTTTTGTACCTTTTTTCTTTATTACGGCCAGGTATACAGTTAAGAAGAAGTTTTCATTTCATTTTTTCTCAGGTATATTTGAAATGTTGAATATTACATAGTTACATAGTTAGTCTGGCTGAAAAAAGACAAAAGTCCATCCAGTTCAACCATAAAAAAAAGTTATAAAGCTATGCCCACAGTTGGGTATTAATATAATATATTGATATCCTGCCAGCATGTCTCAGTGCAGCTGATCTTTCCCTTATTACTCACCTATGATGTTCTGTGTCATGTCTCTGTGTGTAGTGGTGGCCATCTTGGTAGAGACAAGGTCTTGCTTCCCCATGTCAGAGAAACCAGGAAGATGAACAGTGAGTAGCACAGTAGTGACATTACCAAATCTTGCTTTAACCACCTTCCGCCCGCCATATAGTACAATGATGGGCGCTAGGTCGTTCTCTCGTTCTTATAGGACGTCATATGACGTCCTTCCATTCTCACCGCCGCATGCTCGGCTCAGGGAGCGCGCAGCGCGGCGATCGCCAGTGTCCCTCAGACACAGCGGATCACGGAAAGAGCCGAAGATGTCGGCTCGGTCATGTGATCAGCTGTGTCCAATCACAGCTGATCACATGTAAACACGGAAATGCTGGTTATCGGCATTTCTCTCCTCTCGAGCTGTCACGCTGACAGCTCAAGAAGAGAGGAGAGCCGGTAATTGGCTTTCCGCGGAGGGGACATGTACACTGATCATCAGGGCACTGATGATCAGTGTGCCCTGATGATCAGTGTGGCCCCAGAAGTGCCAGCAGTCAGTGCTCATCAGTGCCACGTGCCAGTGCCCATCAGTGCCACATCAATGCCACATATCAGTGCCCATCTGAGCTGCCTTTCAATGTCACCCATCAGTGCCAGTCAGTGCCACCTATCAATGCCAATCAGTGCCACCTATCAGTGCTGCCAATCAGTGCCACCTATCAGTGCCAGTCAGTGTCGCCTATCAGTGCACATCAGTGCCAGTCAGTGGCGCCTAACAGTGCCAGTCAGTGCTGCCTAACAGTGTCAGTCAGTGTCGCCTATCAGTGCTAGTCAGTGCTGCCTATCAGTACCGCCTATCAGTGCCATATATCAGTGTCATGTATTAGTGCTGCCTTTCAGTGCCCATCAGTGATGCCTGTCAATGCCCATCAGTGCAACCTACCAGTGCCTCCTCATCAATGCCCATCAGTGTCACCTATCAGTGTCCATCAGTGCAGCCTATCAGTGCCCATCACTGCAGCCTCATTAGCGCACATCAGTGAAGGAGAAAAATCACTTATTTACAAAATTGTATAACAAAAACTAAAAAAAAAACTTTTTTTTTTCAAAATTTTCAGTGGTTTTTGGTTTGTTTAAGGAAAAATAAAAATCCCAGAGGTTCTTAAATACCACCAAAAGAAAGCTCTATCTGTCTCCAAAAAAATATAAAAATTTCATATGGGTACAGTGTTGCATGACCACGCAATTGTCATTCAAAATGTGACAGCGCTGAAAGCTGGAAATTGGCCTGGACAGGAAGGGGGTATAAGTGCCCTGTAGGCTAGTGGTTAAATCTCTTGATACTAGCAGTCAGAGGCAGCAGTGCCTAAGATCTCACATTGAAGATATACAGCCCTGAGGCTGTAGGCACAGATGTGCCTAGGCTCACTCACATACTAGGAAGTGCACAGCTGTTTTTAGGTGGTAATTCTTTTAGGGTAATGCTGACACACAATTAACTTTTCTTAGGTTCACTTTAAAAGCAACTAGTGTCAACTGTATATTCTCCTAAGGATCCATTTTAAGTCATTGAGGTTGTTTAAAATGGTGGTACTGGATGATCTCATTTGCACACGTTGCAGTACAGACCATGGGGATCTGATACACCTTTTATGGCGCCGCCCAAAATGACATCTTTATTGGCTGTAGGTATCACAAGGTCTTTCAAGTTAACCTCCGTGAAGATCCCAAACAGTGCCTTTTAGGAATTTTGAGTGACCTTCCCATTGAGGATCTCCCTAAACAAACCTTTTGCTAGGGCTCTTTTCCAGGCCTGCAAACTGATCCTAATGCATTGGAAATCAGATGACCCTCTACGCTGAAAGAATGGGTAATTCAGATGGGTGATACCCTACAGCTTGAATGATAAATATATCAACATAGAGGGTGTGACATTAAGGGGCACCATGACTGGACACCTGGAGCTATCCTGATGGATTTAATTATGGATAGGCTATTGTAAAATGAATACTCTGTTGTCTTTCCACAAGTCCGCCTTAGTATGGTTGCTCATTGCTTACAGTCATTTGTGCTGATACTTAGTAAAATGTCAGAATTGTCTGAAATGTATGCTACTATGCCTTTGTTTGGATGTATGATGCAGCTACAAGATGCTTGTACCCAGGGGCGGACTGACCATTCAAGCACTCGGGCACTGCTCGAGGGCCCGGGGTCAGTAGGGGGCCCCATGAAATGCCTCTGGTACCTTTTATAGGCTTTTTTTGAGTGTGGACAAGGACACAGGGGCCCCATGATCCCCTATTGCCCAGGGCCCCATGAGTTGTCAGTCCGCCCTGCTTGTACCTGATTTGCCGGCTCTGGATTTTGTAATGTCTACGTGCATTATTCAATAAACCTTTTTTGAGTAAAAAAAAGACAAAACAAGACTGAATTTGGCCCGCATCAGCGCCTTGCAATCCCCTGTACAGCAGGGCTTGGACTGGGAGAAGTAGAAGCAGCACAGGGAATCAATCAGTTGTTCTGCAGTGCTCATGTGTTAATAAGGGGCATGCTGATAGAAGTGACAGAGAGGTGAGCTTAACCCCTTGACGTAGAGCGGCCACATATTTGTATGCAAGTAGAAAAATACATATGTGCTGAAAGCGAGCGCCCTGCGCGCTCCCAGCACATATTTCTCGCGACTCTCACGGAAAGGTCCCAATCTAACCCCTTTTCGGGACCTATACGATCATGTTATTCCACAGTGTGATTGACGAAACAAAAAAAGGGAGGTCCCATGACCCTAAAACCCCGACATAATGAAACTCTTAACACAAACCTCGCAAAAATGGGCTGCATTACATCAACCACAGCAACAAGTAATTGGCACCCTTTCACAGACCTGGTTGCGGATACAAATAAGAACACTTTACTGCACTGATGCTACTGAATGGCACCTGGGGCAAGTAACAGTTGTGGGCAATATAGAAATCACACCTGAAAGCAGATAAAATCCTTCGGCACGTTCACTTAACCTTTGCATTGTGTGTCTGTCTGTGCCACACTAAGCATGGACAAAACAGAAAGAGGAGACGAGAACTGTCTGAGGACCTGAGAACCAAAATTGTGGCAAAATATCAACATCTTCAATTTACAAGTCCATCTCCAGAGAACTAGATTTGCCTTTGTCCACAGTATAACATTATCAAGAAGTTTGCAACCCATGGCACTGTAGCTAATCTCCCTTTTCTGTGTGGACGGATGAGGAAAAATTGATCAAAGATTGCAACGCAGAATAGTCCTTAGTACAGCATCCTTTTGGCTTTTAAATAAGCAGCCCCAAACATGTTCCAAAGACATTCAAGCTGTCCTGCAGGCTCAGGGAGCATCAGTGTCAGCGCGAACTATCCGTCGACATTTAAATGAAAATGAAACGCTATGGCAGGAGACCCAGGAGGCTTGCCCACTGCTGACACAGAGACATAAAAAAGCAAGACTACAGTTTGCCAAAATGTACTTGAGTAAGCCAAAAGCCTTCTGGGAAAACGTCTTGTGGACAGATGAGACCAAGATAGAGCTTTTCGGTAAAGCACATCATTCTACTGTTTACCGAAAACGGAATGAGGACTACAAAGAACAAGCCACAGTACCTACGGTAAAATATGGTGGAGGTTCAATGATGTTTTGGGGGTTGTTTTGCTGCCTCTGCACACTGGTGCCTTGACTGTGTGCAAAAGGCATCATGCAAATCTGAGGATCCACCAAAGGATTCACAGTAGTCGCAAGGTGTTCTTTGTCAGAATAGGGTTTGCGTCCTCCTCCAAACTTCCAGCAGTTGATCAATGGGCCCAAACATACGTCAAAAAGCACTCAGAAATGGATGGCAGAAAGAATCCCGCTGGAGAGTTCTGAAGTGGCCAGCATATGCAGTCACTCTTCTTATCCCATTGGAGACACCTGTGGGGAGATCTTAAGTTCTGGCTGTTGGGAAAGGTCCTTCAATAAGAGTGTGCGAGCTTATTGCAAAGGAAGAGTGGTCCAAAATTCTGTGAGAGGTGTCTGACAAATCTTTTTCATGGTTCCTAGGAAGCGACGGGGACTTCTCTCACTTATGTTTTCCAAAGGGTAGTGCAACCAAATATCGAAGTTAAGCATGCCAATACTTTTGTCCAGCCCATTTTTGGGGTTTCAACAGTGCCCTTTTTGTCATATTTGCTTTTCTGATGCTTCCTATATTTGTCAATACATACAAAGGGAATTTAACATGTGTATGCAAAACTTCTTTAATGCCAATACCTTTTTTGTGTGAAATCACCTCTTGATTTTCAGGAAAAATTCCTGGACCATTCTCTTCGGCCTGACCATGTATGTGTGAAACCACACCAGTAAATGTCTAGAAGGAGTGCGCGCTCCCAGCACATATGTCCGCGACTCACAGGTCATTTTAAAGCTGCCTAATTGGTGCTTATTATGCTTGATCATTGCTGACCACAGTGTGACATCACAGGTGTTTTCAATACCTGATGGAAACACCTGTATGAACCCTGTTCTTCAGAGTGGTAGTCTTTAAGGGGTTGAATAATCTGTGGCAATGAAGTTAAACCACATAAGAACCATTTACTACTGTATTACATAAACAATTGATGTCATTTTAGTTGCATTTGGGTAGTTACTGAATGGTCCTTGTAGGATTTGATTCTGGAATACAATTCCAAATGTACACTATAGTCCCTAAATCCCTTTACAGCATTGGGGGTTGAATAATTTTGGACACAACTGTAGCTGTTTGCCTGGAGTTCATCTTCTATCAGGTATGTTTTATAGCACTGAATGTACCATTTCCCATTGTGCTGCGACACCATTGTCAGTGTGAGCATGTGCAGCATGAAGATGGAGAACATAAGCAGGACATACGTGGGCCATACAGACAGTCACATAAAAAGCTCACCAGTACATTTGATAATGCCAACAAAGTCTTGACAAATGTCATTTAAGAGGGAATCAAAATTGTGTTTACTTGTAACATTTGATTCTGGAATGAATTTAATTTCTTGAATGAAAACCACATGCACTGTTAGACATTATAGAAATATTTTTAATCTTGCTCCTTTGAATTTTCCCATTGCTGCAGTCGAAAACAACCATTGATTTGACCCCACTAACAATATGAAAATTGAACAACCGCCCCCAAAATTACCATTTTTGAATGGAATTGTACTAATATATGGCAAGCTTTAACCACTTGCAGACCTCCTGCCCGCAATGTACTGAAGACAGGTGGCCGCACAGGTAAAGCTATGCACCCGAATGTCGCTTCCTGCTTCTGGGTTTGTAATTGTATACAGCGGGAGCCTGTCAGCAAGTCCCAGCCAATGATTCATGGCCAGGACCTGCTGATCGGCTGTGTATAATCACAGCCCAGAGCTCTGTGTTGACAATCAACACAGAGCTCTGTACAGAGAGAGCTTCTCATCCATGCAAAGCAGGGATGAGAAACTAAGAGATCATGAGTAAAAAGCAGCACACTTTACATATATTGCACATTGTTAGGCACACATTTAAATCCTTGTTTGGCCTAGATGTTAACCCCTTCCCAGCCAGTGTCATTAGTACAGTGACAGTGTATAGTATTATCACTGATCACTGAATTAAAGTGACACTAAAGCTTGTTTGTTTGTTTGTTTTTTTCGAAAATAACAAACGTGTATGCTTACCTGCTCTGTGATTTTGATTTTGCACAGAGCAGCCCCAGTCCCCTTCTTTTTTTTTCGGTCCCCT